TAATGAAAAGTTTTACATTGGTAAAAAACCAATAACTATTGAAGGTAATGATATAACTATTGAAGGTAAAAAATACACTGGTACATCTGGTCTTTGGGAAATCATAGTAAAATCTCATCCTGTTAAATATACTCACAATGATCGTAATAAGTATAAAGAAATTTTAGATCAAACAGATGCAATTCGCTCTGATTTAAATTCAGCTAAACCAAGATCATCTAAAAGTTATAAGTACACTAATGTAATAAAACCTATTTGGGAAGAGATGATTGGAAAGTCTGGAAAAGGAGTTGTCATTCTTCCTAGTGATCCAAATGCACTATTTGAGATGCTTAAATTACGCTTAGCTGGTTTACAAGCAGGAAATACTGGAACAAGAAATGAGATTGTTGCTATTTGTGATGAGTTGTTACGACAGGGTCAAATAGATGATGATGACTATAAAGCATTACAGAAAGCAATAACTTAAAATGAATTAAAAAAATTATTTTATATATAAAAATGACAAAATATTATGATACTCTTATTAATCTTTCAGATAGTCAGAAAGAAAAAATTAAAAAAGCAATTGAATCTGATACTAATGCTAGTATAAAACTATCATATGAAGATTTAAATGGTGAACACAAAATAGCTTTAACAGAGTCACAAAGAAACAGAATGAAAGCAGCCTATTTAAAAAATAAGGGTATAACACTTTCACTGAGTAGAGCACAACTTAAACATAATGCTAAAAAAAATGGTGGATTTCTACGTCTACTAGGATTAATTGGAAGTGTAATTGCATCAAAAGTTGTTCCGGCTATAGCAACAGGATTATTGACTGGAACAGCTGCAGCTGCTGGAAGTACTATAGTTAATAAAATTGCTGGAAATGGTATTATTTATGTGAAAAAGAATGGTAGTGGATTTAAAATTAGAAAAGTAGGAAAAGGAGTATTTTTAAACCCATGGAATAGTAGTTATAATTATTTAGATGGATATTATTCTAAAAATGGAAATGAATATTCATCAGTAGGTAGAGGATTGTTATTAGGAGAAAATTCTCCATTTAAGAATATACCCTTATTAGGTCTTCTTTTTTAGATCACTTCGTGATCCAGGCTTCGCTAAGTTCTGAAAGAACCAATGCTTTGCTAAGTCTTCATAAAAAAATATATATTTTTAAAAAATATATATATTTATCGATTCCACAATGAAGTTGGATAATAAAATAAATCTAATCCACTTCTATACTTTCCATTTAATAAATCAGAAGACAAATCTATAACAACAAATCCATGCTTTTTTGACTAAGCTTCATTACAAAACTTTTTAAACTCATCTAATTTCATATCATTTGAAACATGGTCATTATAAATATGATTTACATTTTTAGAATCTTGTTTAAACAAGCATATAAAATTTGCATTTTCTCTTATCGTTCTCCTAGGCAACTCAAAATAATTTTTTGCCAAGTAGAAACAATCTACAGTGCTATGTCTTCCTCTTATATAGTACTTTTCACACTTGTTTTGTTTTGTTAATTGTAAATCATCAAATATCATTAAATTATTTTTAATAGAGTTAAGACTTTCAGGTTCTGGAACATCCTCTGCTGTTTCAAAAAATTGACACTCTATATCTGTTTTATCTTTTAAATCTCTTGAAATGTTTTTAATAATAAACTCTGGACTTACATTGTTTTTATTTATTTGATCTTGCAACTCAAATAGTTTAAGAATTACTTCTTTTGGTAATTTATTTTCAAAAGAATTTTTTAATATTTTGTATTCAGGTTGAAAAAGTGACTTTCCAAAAACTTGTAAATTATTATAGTCTAACCAACCAGGTCTTAAGAGCAAGTTTAATAATAATGTTGTCTTTCCACAACCTGATTTTCCAACAATAATACCTCTTATACTTTTAGGTAATAACTCATTATTATGGCGTTTACTTTTATTTACATTCCATGATAAATCTATAATTTCCATTTTTTATTTATGAAAAGTATTTTTTTAGATCGCTTTTGCGATCCTTGGATCTTTTTGTGATCTAAGTAGATTTGTGTTAAATAAATTAAAATACATATATAAAAAATGTACTGCGTTAAATGTAAAAACAAAACAGATACACTCAACTTACAACATGCTGTGAGTAAAAACAAAAGAAATATGATATGTGGAAATTGTACAATCTGCGGAACAAGAAAATGTCAATTTACAAAAGGAACTGAAAGAGCTAAAAAAGGAGGTGACTTGGTAGAATCTATTAATAAATTTACAAGTAATAGAAAATTACCTTTGCAAAAGTTTCCAGGTGAAATGCATATACCAGGTATGAACTTTGCAGGACCTGGTACTAATTTAGATGAAAGATTAACTTCTACTGAGATGCCTAAAGAATGGAGTATGCCTGTAGATCGAGTTGATAAAACAGCTTATATTCATGATCTTGCTTATAAGCATTATCCAGATAAAGAGCATAGAAATTTAGCTGATAAAATGATGCTTGAACAAATGGATGCTATACCTAATCCTACACCTCGTGAAAAATTAGAAAGAAAGATTATAAAACCTATCATATTTGCTAAAGTAAGGTTTGGTATGGGAAATAAAGAGTCAATGAGTATTAAAGAATTATGTCAAAAAAACTGCAAGCGCTCAACAAAAAAGCAAAAAACTTGAAGTGGACTGATGAACTTGCAAATGAACTTCATAAACCAGTTATAAAACATTTTAGAAAAAGAAAAGTAATTGCAAATGGAATAGATGAAATATGGGCTGCTGATTTAGTTGACATGCAAGCTTATTCTAAATTTAATAATGGTATAAAATACTTATTAATGGTTATTGATATATTTTCAAAGTATGGATGGATTATCCCATTGAAAAGTAAGACGGGAATTGAAGTTGCTGATGCATTTAATAAAATATTTAAAGATAGAAAGTGTGCTAAATTATGGGTAGATAAAGGCTTAGAATTTTATAACAAGCATGTTAAAGCATTAGGTGTTCATCTCTATTCAACTGAAAAAGAAGAAAAAAGCTGTGTAGTTGAACGATGGAATAGAACAATGAAAGAAAAAATGTTTAAATACTTTTCTGCTAATTCTACTAGAAAATACATTGATGTTTTAGATGAAATGGTAAAACAATACAACAACACAAAGCATTCTTCAATTAAAATGACTCCAGTTGAAGCAAGCAATAAAAAGAATGAAAATAAAGTTTGGTTAAATTTAAATAGTAAAGTAAGATCTGAACATAACAAGCTTAAGTTTACAATAGGTGATAAAGTGAGAATAATTAAAAAGAAAGAATTATTTGAAAAAGGGTATACACCAAGATGGACTGAAGAAGTATTTACAGTATCACAAATTCAATACACAGATCCACCTACATATAAAATAACTGATTATAATGGTGAAGAAATACAAGGTACTTTTTATGAACAAGAACTGCAAAAAACAAGTCAAGAGATATTTAGAATTGAAAAAGTTATTAAAAAACAAGGTAATAAATCATTTGTAAAGTGGTATGGGTATCCTGATACTTTTAACTCATGGGTTAATAATACAGAATTGAAAGCGATTTAGATCCCTTCGGGATCCAGATTCATGCAAATGAATTAAAAATTATCTTACATATATAAAAAATGAACAACTCAAATGTAAATGTGAATATATATGTAACAGCTACTTCTGGTAATGCTAGTACAAATACTACTGTAACAACAACAACTTCAAATTACAACTCTAGCAAATGATGTAAGATAAAATTTATATATTTTTACAAGAAAATTAAAATAATTTTTTTAAATGAGTTGAATAATTTTCTTTTATATATAAAAAAAATGTCATATGTAGATATTGAAAATTTTGATGAAGCAAATTTATATGTAAAAGAAATAAAAAAATTTAATAAACCTGTTCAATATCAAAAAATAGTAATTGAATACAAATACTCTAACTTTTCAGAACCTTTAAGAGTAAAAACTCCAAAATCGTTATCATATGGAGTTTGTGAAAATAGAGACATGAAAACAAAAGAACTTACAGGATACTCAATTCCTTTTGTATGTGAAAATGATATATTTATCGCAATTATTGAAGCTATTGAAAAATTTTGTAGAAATAAAGTTATTGAAAATGAAGCAACGTTGAAAAAAAGTGGTATGAAAAGCTTAAATATTAACAACTTGAATATTTTAAAGTATAGAAATGATGATTTTAATGCACCTCCAGTTATATATGCAAAAATACCAACAGATTATAAAAGTAAAAAGATGGATCAAGTATTCAGAAATAAAAATGGCGATATTTTAGGAGAAAGTCTTATTAAAAAAAGATGTGATGTTGTTGGATGCTTAGCAATTGAAGGTATATATATAGGATCAATGATTCAATCTATTCAAGTAAAATTATTAGATACAGTTGTATCTAAAAATGAGTATAAGATAGAAAGATTTTATATTAAAGATGTAGACTTAGAAAGCGAAGATGAAGAGTAAATATTAATTTTATATATTAGCAAATAATATATAAAATGAGATCGCAAAGCAATCTAGGTCTCTTTGATCTAAATAATTATTATAAATATAAAAATGTATATTGAAATAGAAAAAAATAAACAAAATCCAGTTATAATTAAATTTGATGATAATATTAAACTTGATGAAAATAAAGAGTATGAAATGGCACTTGATAGATTTCAAACTATTCTCTATAGTGATTCAACTAAAAACAAAAAAGTATACATATTAAATAATCTTGTAGATGGAAAAATTGTATCTAATAATGGCAATGCTAAGAAAACGACTGTAATGTATTCATTTATACCTATTATTGTTTCTAAAAATTCAGTTATTAATGAACAACCGATATCTAAAAAATATTTTCCTTTAAAAACAAACTCTATTTCAGAAATGAAAATTGATATCATTGATAACTTTAATAAACCTATAGATTTTAATAATGAAAGTTATACCATAGAATTTCATATAAGAGAGAAAAAAAAGTAGATTCTAAAAGAACTAATATAAATTTTTTTTATATTGAAAACAATATAAAAAATTATGACATATATAAAAAATGTCAATAACAATACATATATCTTCAAACGATACTGTTATAAATACTAATATGGCAGTACCTATTGAACTAGATGCAGATAAAGAGTATGGAATAGCTCTAAAAAAATTAATGACTTATAATAGTTTTCCAAATATTATTGAAGGATTAAACAATACTATAAATATTACTATAGAAGCTAGTGATAGTCCTGCTTTTCAACAAATTAAGATCCCAACAGGATCCTATGAACTTATAAATATAAATACAATTGTAACTAGATATGTAATGACTACTCTTAAAGATCAACTTGCTAAATATAAAGAGTCTTTTAAAAATGTATCAAGCACAGATATTGAAAATTATAAAAAAAAACAAAAGTATGATAGTATAAGACTTGATCCTACATCTATTATATTTGAAGCAAATTTTAATACTGAAAAATCACAGATTATTATTAATAAAAATAGCAATATTAGAATACAACTTGATGATGACTCTATAAAAGATCTTTTAGGTTTTAATAATAGAGATCGTGATGGTAATCTTATAATATTTGACTCATCAAAAGTATATATTTCAGATAAAGTAATAGATATAAATCATGTTAATACTATTCGTGTAACAAATAGTCTTGTAACAGGGTCAATTATAGATGGTGCATATTCAAATGTTATATATTCATTTTATCCATCTACGCCAGTGGGTTATAAAATTGTAGAAGTACCAAATAATCCAACTTATTATAGATTATTATCAAAAAAAATTTGGGATATGAAAACAACAATAATGGATCAAGATGGGCATATACTTACTTTACAAGGGGAACCAATAAGTATTGAATATGAAATAAAAGAAATTGTATCAAAATGTAAATCAGAACATCTTTTAGAAAGACAAGTATATCTTTTAGAAGAACAAAATGGACTTTTAAAAAAACAATTAAGATAATATCAAAGTGAATTAGGTCTCTTTGAGACCCAAGAATCACAAAGTGATTTAAAAAAGTATATAGTAAATAAAATGTTAGATATAAATAAAAAAGCATATACTCACAAGTATGTAGTAGGTGTAAATGGAATATTTACAGATATAAGTAATGTGTATAATCAAGCAAAATCTTCTGATTTTTTTAGAGCATTATCTGGTATGAAAACAATGTTAACTAATCATTTTAATAAAAATGGACCAATAATAAAATAAATCTCGTTGAGGTTCAAAGTTATTTTAGAACTTGACAAAGCCTGGATCACAAAGCGATTTAAAAAAATATATATAGTAAATAAAATGTTAGTTATAAATAATAAAGAATATACACACAAGTATGTAGTAGGTGGAAGTGGAATATTTACACCTTTTTTAAGTATGTTCAATAAGCAAGTACTAAGTAATGCATTTAATGCATCTCGTAATTTTGCTAGTAGAGCAGCTGCTACAGACTTGGGAAAAACTGCTGTAGATGCAGCAAAGTCAGCAGGGAAAGAACTTGCAAATTCTGCAATATCTACTGCTAAAGAAATTGTAATAAATAAAGGTAAAAAATTAATAGAAAATGTAAATAAATCATCTAAGTTAACACCTGAAAATAAACAAGAACTTAAAAATTTAATAAATACTTTAGATAGTAAATTAAATGAAGCAGTGCCAGATATTAATAATATCATGTTTGGATCATCAATAAAAAGTAAACCTGTTAGAATACAAGATTTAGTTAAAAAACATAAAGGCGATGGGCTTAAAATAATATAATTTTTAGAATTACTAAAAGTGATTTAAAAAAATATATTGCATATATAAAAATGGTAAAATCTGATATATTTAATATTACTGATGAATTGAGATTTGACGAGGAAATTAAAAGATATGAAGAATATGAATTTACACCCTCTGTTAATTCTAATTTAAATTCAGGAGAAATAAGAATTTTTATTGAAAGCAGTGATTCTTTTTTTCATCCACATGAATCCTATTTAGAAATTGTAGGAAGACTTGTAAAAGCAGATGGATCAGCTTATATAGATACAGATGCAATAACACTAGCACACAATGGAATTATGCATTTATTTGAAAGAATTGAATATAGATTCTTTGATTCAATTGTTGAATCAGTTAGTTTTCCAGGTATAGCAACTACAATGCTTGGATTATTAAAATACCCGAATGACTTTCAACAATCAAAAGCAATGAATCAATTCTGGTATAAAGATAGTACAGCAACAGCAGATTTAGCTAATAATACAGGATTTTCAACAAGACAACAATATATCATTAAAAAACCTACTACAAAAGGTAAATTTGAAATTAGTATTCCATTAAGGCATATTTTCGGATTTTGTGAAGATTATGATAAAGTTTTTTATGGATTAAAACATGAACTTTTTTTGTTAAGACAAAGTGATGATAATGCAATTTTTAGAGCTGCTAGTGTAGCAGCAGGAAAAGTAGATATTACAAGAATATCATTAATGATGAAACGTGCAACTCCATCTATGGTAAAAGATTTAGAACTTTCTAAAATTATTGATACACAAAAAACACTTAATTTAGGTTTTAGATCAAGGTACTTAAATAAAAATAATGTTCCACAAAATACGTCACTTGATTGGAACTTAGGAACAAAAACTACTGAAAAACCTAGATATGTACTTGTTGGTTTTCAAACAAATAGAGAAAGAAATCAAGAACAAAATTCTTCAATATTTGATCATTGTGATTTGAGAAATATGTGGATTGAAATTAATGAAGAAAGATATCCTGCAACTAACTATAATTTATCATTCCCAAATATGAAAATTAATAGAGCATATAAAAATGCATCAAATTTTGCTGAAGATTATTATAATATGTCTAATCTTTTTAGTCTATGTGGTATCACTCCTTCAGATTATAAAGATTTATATCCTATTATGTATTTTAATGTAAGTAAACAATCAGAAAAAATGAAAAATAATATTGCAAATATTAATATTAAAGCAGAATTTAATACACCTGTTCCAGCAGGTACTATAATATATGCTCTCGTCATTTCAGATAGAATAGGAAAACTTACTTCTAATGGAAATAAATTTATGTTTGAATATTAGATCGCTTTGCGATCAATGCTATGCTAGGTTCTGAAAGAACCCAGACTTTGTTAGGTCTTTAAAAAAGCTAATGCTTCGCTAAGTTCCTTTGGAACCCATAGAAACTAGGTTAAACGCTAAAATAGAGTAAAAAAAATTAATTATTTTAAAAAAGTATATGCAATAAAAAAAAATACTATTATTTAAATTATTTGAAAATAATTTAAATAAATTTTCTTTATATATAAAAAAAAATGAGTGACAAAATAAAATATACAAAAAAGTATTTATTAAATTTACTAAAAGATAATAATATACAACAAACATCTAAAGATCCTATGGCATTAGTTATGATTGCTATGGATCATAATTTAATTGATAAAGATTCTGTAAAAACAAATATCATTACTAAAAAACAAAAAAAACCAAAGATTGAAAGAGTTAAAAGAGTTAAAAAAGAAAAAATAGTAAAAGAAAAAAAATCTGCTGGAAGACCAAAATTTCTTCCAACAAAAGAAAAAAAAGAAAGAGATCCTAAATATGATTATCTCACAACAATTAGAACAGATCCATGGGGAATTAAACTTACTAATATGGAAACTGGTGAAGTTAAAAATTACAAATCATTTTATGACTATAATAAAAAAGAAAAGCACTCTAAAACATATATTTTTAATAGAAATGGGAAAATTGTAGATGGAGTAAAAATTGAAATAATTAGAGCAAGTAAAGAAAAAGATGCATTATCACAAAAATAAAATAGATAATGAAAAATAATTTATTTTTATAGACTTTTTCTATAAAAATATAAAAAGAAAGCGTTTTTTTGTATTATTTAATTTTCTTTACATAAAAAATAAAAAATTGAAAATGATATAAATAATTTTCTTGTGTATATAAAAATGGAAAATAGAAACGTAAAAGAATTAAAACAAATCGCAAGAGAGCGAAAAATTAAATATTATTATAGAATGAGAAAAGCAGATCTCATTAGATCAATTGAGCAAACAACTCCTATATTAGATATGCCTATTCCAAATAATATTACACAAAATACTTTAGCACCCACACAATATGCTCCAATTAGTTATATTAATACTATTAAGAACAAAGTGAATTCATTTGCTAATTGGATTATAGACTATGTTCCTGAACCTATTAAAAATGTTGCTAATGAAAAACTTACATCGTTAAAGTCTACAGTTTCTAATTTGTATAAAAGATTTGGACTTAGAAAACAAATAGAATTTAAACTAACACAATCATCTCTTAAAAATGTAACTAAACAATTTTCAGCTGAAGGTGCTAAAGAATATGATGCTTTGTCCTTTATGAAATCAGCTGAAAATAATGTCATTAAAATACTAAATGATAATAAAGGATCAAAGATCTATATTGTTCTTTTATGCGAAATGGAAAGAACTGATATTAAAACAGGAGAAACTATAACAACTATTGCATCCTTTTCAACAAAAGCAGAAGTTGTTTTAGAATCAACAGATTTAAATGACTTTTGTGAAAGAGCTGAACAGAAAATTTTAGAATCCTTGTCAGCATTTCAACAACTAGGATCAAGTTGGAGATTTGTATCGGTTAAAAAGATGGATATAAATATCATTGAATATAAACCTATTAAAGGTAAATCTTACATTCCTCTTCCTAAAGAGTTGGCAGCTAAAAAAGCAATTATTAATATGAAGAATGAAGACAACGAATGCCTTAAGTGGTGTGTTGCTAGATTTTTTAATCCTAAAGAAAAAAATTCTGAAAGAATAGATAAAGATTTAAAAGAACAATCTGAGAAATTAAATTGGGAAAAAATAAAATTCCCAGTATCACTACAACAGATTACTCAATTTGAGAAAAATAATCAAGACATCAGTGTTAATGTCTTTGGTTATGAAAAATTATCAGTCAATATTTTACACAGATCTAAAAACAAAAATAGACAACACCAAATAGACTTGTTACTTATTTCAAATGATGATACAAATCACTATTGTTTAATAAAAAGTTTAAGTAGATTACTTTCATCACAAATATCTAAAAATGAACATGAAATGTATTATTGTAGAAATTGCTTGTTAGGATTTTGTACTGAAGAATCTTTGTCAAATCATAAATTGTATTGTGATACTCATGATTCAGTACGAATTGAGCTTCCAAAACCAAATACAATGACTGAGTTTAAAAATTATAACAAGTCTATGAGAGTGCCCTTTGTAGTCTATGCAGACTTTGAAAGTTTTATAAAACCAATCAACACTTGCTCACCTAATCCAAATGAATCTTATACAAAGCAGTACCAAAAGCATACACCTAGTTCATTTTGCTACTATATTAAATGCTTTGATGAAAAAATATATCAAAGTAAACTAGTTACATACACTGCAAGTAATGAAGATGAAGATGTAGCACAAAAATTTGTTAATATGCTAGAAGAAGATGTAAAAAAGATTTACAACGATTATTTAAAATTTCCAAAAAAGATGATATTTACTATGAAAGACAAAACTAATTTTGATAATGCAAAAATATGTCATATTTGTGAAAAAGATCTTAATGAAGATAGAGTACGAGATCATTGTCATATTACTGGAAAATATAGAGGTGCTGCGCATAGTGATTGTAATTTACAATTTAAAATTCCAAAATTCATTCCAGTGCTATTTCACAATTTATCTGGTTATGATTCTCACTTGTTCATAAAGAAATTGTCAAAAGGAGGAAATATAAATTGCATACCCAACAATGAAGAAAAATATATCAGCTTTTCTAAAGAACTTAAAGTAAATGAATTTATGAATAGAGAAGGTAAAAAAGTTGAGGTTAAACTGTATCTACGTTTTCTAGATAGTTTTAAATTTATGGCTACTAGTTTAGATAGTTTAACTAAAAATTTGTCAAAAGATCAATGTAAAAATATTAGTAGATACTATTCTGGAAATGAACTCAATTTATTGTTAAGAAAAGGTGTTTATCCTTATGATTGGGTTGACTCTATTGATAAATTGAATGAAACACAATTACCACCAAAAGATTCATTTTATTCAAGATTAAATGATGAAGGAATAAGTGATGAAGATTATTTACATGCTCAAAATGTATGGAAAGAGTTTAATTGTGAAACATTCAGAGATTACCATAATTTATATAACGAATCTGATGTATTACTACTAGCTGATGTCTTTGAAAATTTTAGAGATGTCTGTTTTAACAATTACAAATTAGATCCTGCTTGGTACTATACAGCACCAGGATTAGCTTGGGATGCTGCGTTGAAAATAACAGAAGTAAAATTAGAATTATTAAGTGATTATGATATGATCTTAATGATAAAGGAAGGAATAAGAGGTGGAATTAGTATGGTTTCTAACAGGTTAGGAACTGCTAACAATAAATATATGGAAAATTATGATGAAAGTAAAGAATCTACTTACATACAGTATCTAGATGCAAATAATTTATATGGGTGGGCAATGAGTAAACCCCTTCCAACACATGGATTTAAATGGATGAATGAAGAAGAATTAAAAAATTGGAAATCTACTTCTTGCATGTTAGAAGTAGATTTAGAATATCCTGAACATTTACATGATGTTCATAATGATTATCCTCTAGCTCCTGAAAGATTAAAAATAGACAAAGTTGATAAATTAATACCTAATTTAAATCATAAGAAAAATTATATCATACACTATGAAAATCTTAAACTTTATGAAAGGTTAGGATTAAAGATTACTAAAATTCATAGAGGAGTAAAGTTTGAAGAAAGTGCATGGTTGAGTAAATACATTAAACTCAATACAGATCTAAGGACTAAAGCAACAAATGATTTTGAAAAAGACTTTTTCAAACTTATGAATAACTCAGTATTTGGAAAGACAATGGAGAACATTGAAAACAGAGTTGATGTGAGATTAGTTTCTAAAAGAGAAGAAGCTATTAAATTAGCATCAAAACCAAATTATGAAAGTAGTACAATATTTGATGAAAATTTGATAGCTATTCATATGAAAAGAACAAAACTTGTATATAATAAGCCTATTTATTTAGGCATGTGTATTTTAGATTTGAGCAAGACTTTAATGTATGAGTTTCATTATGATTACATAAAAAATAAATATAAAGATAAAGCTAAACTATTATATACAGATACAGATTCATTAATCTATGAAATAAAAACAAAAGACTTTTATGCAGATATTGCAAATGATATTGAAAGTAAATTTGATACAAGTGAATTTAATAAAGATCATTCAGCTGTTCAAAATGGATTTAAAGTAGGTGTAAATAAGAAACTAATAGGAATGTTTAAAGATGAGTCAGCAGGAAAACAAATTACAGAATTTATTGGACTCAGATCAAAATTGTATTCTTACAAAATAGATGAAGAAGATAAAAAGAGATGTAAAGGAGTAAAAAGAAATGTAGTAAAAAATTATATTATACATGAAGATTATAAAGACTGCCTTATAAATAGAAAAGATCAAATGAGAAAAATGAATGTCATAAGATCACATTGTCATGATGTTTATACTGAAGAAATAAACAAAATAGCATTGAGCGCAGAAGATGATAAAAGAGTAATTCAAGAAGATGGTAATCACACATTATCATATGGACATTATAAAAGTTCCTATTGATCACAGAGTGATCTAGCGAAAATTGGATCGCAAAGCGATCTAAAAAAAACAGGTAAGCAAGCAAGTCATTTTTTATATCTTAAAAAGATCTAAAAAAATCTAACGAAGTAATAAAAATGAACAAACATATCAATGTTGAAGGAATTATATTACCCAATGAAGCCTTAACAAACTTTCAATTAATAAAAGCAGCAAAAAAATTAAAAATTAAAAATTTTAGAGGTGTATTTGTAAGAGATGAATTACCTAAAAATACACAAAACAAAGAATGTGGAATATTAAATACTGGAGATTCAAGTACAAATGGATTTCATTGGATTTGTTGGTATAAAGATGGAGAAGAAAAGTTAAGTTTTGATTCTTATGCATTACCACCTCCAGTTGAACTTGTTCAATATTTACACAGTCCTGTTTATTATAATAGTAAAAGAATTCAGTTTGGAGACACTTCTTTTTGCGGACACTTGTGCCTTTATGTATTAAAAAAGCTTGATGAAGGTGTTGATTTTCAAAGTATTGAAAACTCATTATATTGAATTAAAAAAAATATATATAGTATATAAAAAATGAGTATGAATATAGCCGGTAGTAATTCAATGTATGGTTACACAACAGATGGATTAAATATCAACATTAATGTTGGCAATACAGCCACTACTGATGTTGATTTGAATTCACATAAATTAATCAATGTAGCTGATCCTACAGATGCACAAGATGCAGCTACAAAGAATTATGTAGATAATAATCAGATTTCTAGCAGTTCCTATCTAAAAATAGATGGAACTAATAGTATGAGTGCTAATATAAATTTGAATTCACATAAATTGATCAACGTAGCTAATCCTACTAATGCACAAGATGCAGCTACAAAGCATGATGTAGATAATAATCAGACTTCTAGCAGTATGTATCTAAGAACTGATGGTTATAATCCTGCAACTGCTAATATAAATTTAAATACAAATAAACTTATCAATGTAGCTAATCCTACTGATGCACAAGATGCAGTTACAAAGAGCTACGTTGATGATATGCAAAATCAAAGTTTAGATATCATTCCCAATACAAGTTTAATATGCTTTGGACAAAAATCTCAAGCATTCTATGCAACTCCAGGATCATATACTATTTTTAGCTATAGTGGTAGTTCAGGAATTTTAAAAAAACTGTGGATTGCATTTACAGGATCTACTATTGTACCTAATACTGTACCAGGTAACTTGTTTTTAAAAATATATGCTGACAATGTACTTTGCATAGGTAATGATTCTATTGTAACAGATGGTGTAGGTATTAATAATACAGCTTTAGCTTGTGATTTATTAATTGCACCACTTGGTGGATCCTATTATGCAAACTCTTTACAAGGATGTAATGTATTTAGTACAAGTGCATTAGGAGGATATTTTACATTTGATCTTCCTTTTACATCAAGTTTGAATATACAATTATACAATAAAACAGGCAATTCAGTGACCTTTTGGTTACAACCTTTTATCACAAGAACTTCATCGTTACAACAAACATTAACTAGTATTAATCCTCTAATACCTCGATCTATCTCATCTATTAAGTTGTACTCAACAACATTTAGATATGTAAATACATCTTATGGTAGTGAATATATGCTAATGAATGTTATGGATAATGGAAACGGAGTGTATTTGAAATACATAAGAATGCATGTTGTTGGAGGATCTGGAGACTGGTGGGAATCTAGAGTTCGCATCTATGATGGATATAGCGCTCCTACCAATACTAACTCAGTCATTCAACCTTGGACACCCTATAATAATAATGGATATACTACATTTTCTGGATATGATGTTAACAGTCGATGTATCTATGCTTCATCAGGTTTAGAAGATTTTTATCTCTCTTCATGGAATGGATCTAATGTAAGCTCATTTAATAATGAAGTATCAGGATTGTTGAATCAATCAACTAGTACAATTGGTCCAACAACTACAATTTCATTTTATAGAAACTTTAATTCATCTGAAAGTATGCCTAGCGTTGGTATAGGTAGAAGAATGGTAGTGACACTCAACTCTGGTGATGCACAAGTTGGACAATCTGGAAGCTATGCTGCACTGATAGGACAATGTTTCTACTATGCATAAAAAAATAACGCATGCGCACAAGAAACAAGAAAAATGAATTAAATAATTTTCTTGCATATATAAAAAGAATGGAAAACAAAATG